CATTATCTATAAAAACGGCAAAAAAATCATGTTTGTTTTATGGGAGCCCCACTTATTTATATTTTTTTTGTTTTTTGGTATTTTTTGTTATAGCGGCAACAGAAATTCATCGTTTGTACAAAATCTTTTTACAAATAATCATTCACCATCAGGACATTTTTAACCAACATCCGAAAGTACAATAGCCTCTGTCAAATGACTTCGTTTAACGCGAACTTTTAAAATAGAAGGACAAGTATACAAGTTATCATTATCCTCCTATCCCATCTAGGTGGGGTCGGTACAACATGAATCATGTTGCAAGAGGTTTTGGCTATATCTTTACAACCAGCCGACTGCTTGACGTCAACTCTCCTTGGGAAACAAATACCCAGATCAAATTTCAACTGTGTAACTATCATGGTTGATGAGATACAGCCTGTTGACAAAGGGACAGACAGACAGCGGAGTCTTAGTAATAGGGTCCCGATTTACCCTTTGGGTACGGCATCCTAAAAAGGCCCTTGAGATATAGTGTTGCACAGTAGATACGGCCAACTTAAAAGGGTCTCTGAGTTACACCGATTGTATGATCCATTAAAATATCCCTTAATAGTCGTAATAGGAGAAGACGGTTAATATTTGACTATTCCTCAGCAAGGTACTGTGCGTAACAAAATTGTGATATGCATGCAATTGTATGCATTTAGGTTGATGGTTAGAGCTACCAGTTTTAATCCATTGCATTATTACTGGGACTTAGTAGGGTTCCGTACCCAAAGGGTAAAACGGCACCCTATTACTAAGACTCCGCTGTCCGTCTGTATGTCCGTATGTCTGTCCATAAGTCACCAGGCTGTATCTCATGAATCGTGATAGATAGATAGTTGAAATTTTCACAAACGATGAATTTCTGTTGCCGCTATAACAAAAAATACCAAAAAACAAAAAAATATAAATAAGTGGGGCTCCCATAAAACAAACATGATTTTTTTGCCGTTTTTATAGATAATGTTGACAGTAGTAGTGTTTTTGACCATATATAAGTGAAATACTTCTATGTTGAATAAATATATTAAAACATGATTTTTTAATGTGATAGAGTGGCAAACGAGCTGGTGGTTCACCTGATGTTAAGTAATAGCCGCCGCCCATGGACAATTGCAACACCTGTAGGGTTGCAAATGAGTTGCCATCTTTAAAAGTGGGCCCCGGCTACCTCTCTCACCAGACGAAACGTAGAAGTTATAACACTTCTATTTTACGCCGGTCTTCTGTGAGGTCGGTACGGAACCCTTCGTGTGCGAGTCTGACTCGCTGGTTTTCATTCAATACATTGTCGATATGAAGGCAAAAAGATATCAGAAAGATTGAATTACATATTATTTCGTAATCACCAGAGACTGAGGGCTGGTGAAACATTCATCTTAGAGAAGCTTTAAATCAAGACATTGGCTCGTAAAAATCGGATCATCAGACATCGGTCAACAAAATAACCAAAGATGCGATGATTTATGTCCGAAGCTATGGGAGACCAGACTTATTTGTCACTTTTACGTGACGTAATTTCAAGGGTATTTCTTAAAAAAATTAAGAAATGCATAAAATTATTCCCCAGAGACGAAATATTCGAAAGGTTTTATGGGTGTGTATGATAATTTTTACTTTTAAATATTTTGTTAAATACCCGTGCGAAGCCGGGGCGGGCCGCTAGTCTTACATAAAATTATTGTGTAAATCACTTCCTTAAGTATGCTTTCGTAAGACTATCTATGGTATATAGTAATCCTGAATGTATGAATAGATTGACGTGGGAGATACAAATGTTATATATCCTATGAAGTTTGTACGTTTTACCTATGGCTTCCTTATAGTTCAGAGGATGCGGATCCTTAGTTTACCCGAGATAAAAAAATGTATAAATAAGTAATTTATTAATAATAGTTATTAAGATTACTTATCTATTTACAGTTAACAATCATTCTTAAACGTTAAAGCCTGGAGCCTGTCAACCGATCAGCAGATTGCCTTACATTTGCGATAATTCCATTGTCTGGCGTTAACCGATTAGAAGCAATTGGAAGTCGGTTTTGCTGAGGCTACTGCTCTTATGTATTTTTACGAATTTATTAAATCAAATAATACCGAATTTACTTCAATGTAAATAAACTAATTTCGTTTATTTTATTTATTATTGATCACAATCAATATTTAATCAAATGAAAGAAATTAGTAGTTTTAGTTTGATGACTCCGTGGCGCAGTTGCCAAGGTATTGGCTTCGGCGTCGGGGGTCGTGGGTTCGATTCCCACACGGCACAACTATTTGTGTGACCCACAGATAGTTGTTTCGCATCTGGGTGTTTGTCCGCGTGAAATTTATGTTTGTAAAACGTCCTTTACAACACAGGATAATATTATCCTAAAGTAAGGGCAGGTTTTTTTTAAAAAATAATAATGAATAAATGAAACTTCTTTTAAAGAAGCGCTAGAAAAGAAGCCAGTGAACGGTAGTTTATCCTCAAATTAACATTACCTTGATTAAGATTACTAGCTTGCGATATTTTATTTTCTACATTTCAAACTGTAACGCAGTTGCAACATGAAATATAATTAAGAATCAAACGAACTTACTTTGTGATGTTTGATTCCAATTATGCGAATGTTGCAACCAGAAAAAAGGAAACTGAAGTTCATCAAACATTTAGATTACATTATAAATAAGACTCGGAAGTTATACACCTACAAAACTTACACTCTTTCTTTAAACCTACCTGGGGTATTCATTCCAAAATTAAATTTTATATCAACACGTATTCGAACCCATAGTTTGCTATGAAGCGTCCATTTCAACGTCAGCAACTAAATAAAGACACAAATGGCTACACAGCAACCGCTGTGTAGCCGATAAGCTTCGTTCTTGCTGCAGGGCTTCGTTGTAGGCATCGTACGTGGTATCAGAAGGGTGAGCACTATAGCTTGCACCTCTATGGCCTGCACTGCCTGTCAAAATTAAAGAGGTGGCTGATAACGAACGGACGAGAATCACACACACAACTTGTTACCTTCGCAACGACATCACCCTTGATATACCTGCCAAAGCCAAGGACATTCTTCGTATCCCCACACTCACACTCTCATATGACCCGTTCATCATAAAACTCGAATGCTTTAATATATACTGCGACTTTAGTAAGCGTGATGATAAAGTAGGCGCTGCGATAGTTACCGTTCAGCCAAACGGTCGAACCCACAAATACAAACTTCAGGTTCTGCTCAAACTGCTCGGTCTTTCAGGTCGAATTACCTGCCATCAGCAAAGCATGCTTGTGGGTCAGAGATCACCGCACCCCAGCTACTCGTATCCACTCAGACAGTTAATCTGGCCTCCAAAAAATCTCTAATCCAAACGGCCACAACCCCCCTGACGATAATGATATACGTTAAAAAGACTAGTAAATTATTATCAAAAGGGGAATCGATTTCAGGGTTAAAAATTTTGAACAGGTAAACTAGATAAGATGAAATAAAGAGATGAGAACATTATGGTATAAATTAAATGTAAAAAGAAAAATTTTAATTCTGAAATTTGTCATGAAATTTATTGACATACAAAAAAACTTCCCATTCGGCCATATAATTTCATTTTTATTGTTCATTACTTTTATTAAAATTAAATTTACATAGTGCAGTCGTAGAAGACAATTTAAAATTACTTATTTCTTATTTATTTATAGCTAGCTATTTAACAATCACTTATACTTTTAGCTTCGGGAGTTTGGACTTTTGGGTTCAATATGAGCATTACAATTATTTTTCATGAATTTTTCTTAACGTAACATCAAACATGTCTAGGGCATAGAAAATAATTCATTTTCATATTTTAACATTTTAACTTGTGAGTCAAAAATATTGATCTTGGTGAAGAGATTACACATTAACCGTTTAAACTGAAATTTAACAAAAACAGTTAAAGTCAAGTACCAAACGTATAACAAAATAAACAAAATTTAATGCTATGTTTTTTCACAAATTATTAGTATATTGGTTTCAGAGGTAATTTTTTTAATTAAAAGCTATGTTTATGTGTTACTTACCGCTAAGATTGGATAAAATGTCTATAACATGAATTTTGCTTTTGAATATCTACCTGTATCTTCTATTTCGAGAAATATTTTTTTTATTATTTATTCGAACACGAAGAAAAATAAATAAATTTGAAACTATCGGTTTGATGATGATTAATCAATAATGTATTTATTTCTTATGACAAAAATTTATTACAATTTAAAATATCCCTTTATACAATTTTATATTTACATGTACATCAGTCAGTTACTTAGAAAAGTTTCTAATAATTGAACTTATTTCTAATTTCTAAGTCTACTTAACTTTTTAATTATTAGTAAAATTTTTCAATTGTTCCAAATTACTGCAAAATTTATATAAATTTAGTTGCTTTGATTAACACTTTACTATGTAATTTATTAAAACAATTTAAATTAAAATGTATTACATCTTTTTAAAATAATGAAGATTCTTGGTTTTTTATTCTTTAGAGTGGAGGTTTAGGTCAAGACACTGAAAATTGTGTTTTAAAATTATACGGGATTTTTTCTTAACTAAAACAGAAACTAATAAGAATTACATTTTTTATAGTCTATTTCTTCCTTTTCCATATTCATAGTTAAGTTTCGTTGTCTTACGTGTATTTCTCTTACGAGGGCAACTCAAATAAAATTAAATGAAAAAGAACAAAATTTTAATGCGCAAACATTCTATTTCATATCTTCGCTTTTTCTTATTTAGTTTAAGTATTTTATAAAATATACAAGACAAGTTTTATAGTCAGGTCACTTGATAGTTAATATAAACCCTTTTGTTGATATGTAATTTATTTTCAATGTTTAAGAGATGCAAATCATATTTAAAAAATCAGTAAAATTATAGAATCATTTAACTCAAACCATGTCCTATCCGGTGCGGTAGTAACTAAATGTACAAAATATTTGAAGTAGATCAAACACAGCTCTCTTGATGTGCTGCTAACAAAGGGGTTCTAGTCGTTACAACTTCTCTTTGCAACCTCGCAGTTCCATTGATCCCAATACGGTCAATCTAAAATGAAAGGTTTCCATTCATCCATTAAATAGACTTCTTTTGCAGATTGTAAATCGGTTCCAAAATTAATTATTTAAACAAAAAATCAAACTTATTTCAGGATAATAAATACAAATTGCTAACCTGATTTTCAGGGTTGTGAGGTTGCGGAGTATTCGGTGTCTGCGTGCTAACCAAGCTGTGTAAACTATTCGAGTTCATAACATTTTGTTTATTAACCACTGTCGAATAATGAGGAGGATCTGGTGGGCTCTCTGCACCTAGAAACGTTTAAAATTTAATTAACTTCGGACGAAATTCTCAAAAAAGTAAGTAAAAGAGGCGCCACCTTAGTAATAGAATATTGTAGAGTTTCTTAATTGCTTTTTAAAAACTTAAAATCAACATTACACTCACTTATTTATAGTCAAAATACTACCAACGGTTCGGAAAAGAAAAGTCACTTACCCAAGAAGAACCAGCGAAGGAAACTCAGTGGACATTTTTTTTACCATTTTTTGACAATGTGAATATGTTTTACATTGTGTGTCATTAATATATTAAATACAATACAAAAAGTCCGATCAAAAGAGCTTGGACCAATCAATTAATTTCCAGAGTATGTTATTACTTCATTAATCATTAATATTGTTATAGCCTTTAACACATACATGCTCTTCTACAATTTAAACTTTTTTTTTGAATTTCGTTTTAAAAACGTATACATTGTTCCAAAAAGATTTACTTATTCTACGCAGTCTACTTGTGGTATAATAATATACACAGAAAATTTGAATACCTTTATTTAACGGAATCAAGTCCGGGTTCCTGTCATCAGGAGACTGCCGTTTTTGAGGTGTAGTTTTCTGGATTTTGGCAATCTGCATGGTAACTGTGAGAGTAATTTTATATGATATGTCATTACTATCTGTATTAAAAACAGATCAGAATAATAAGAATTTGCCTTATTATTCTGATCTATATAATACATATTTAATACAATAAATAAATTTAACATAATAATAAATATAGGCAGTCTTAAGGCTGATAAATAGAAATTGAATAATATTGGAAAATAAAAGATTGCTGTCAGTCAAATATCACTACTTAGGAAGTGTGAGAAAAGAGAAGGATCTGAATCTTATTCCTTTAGACTTGATAATAACTAGCCAAAACATTTTTTTCAAAAGGATAGTAATTATGCCACGTGTTTAATTTCAAAGTCCGATTTTAATAGAGACTTACGATTATGATCTTTTTCTAGGCTATGGAAAAAATACGATATTTCAAGAGAACATATTTAAGAACCTGGTAAGGCAAAAAGTATGTTTCAAAGAAATTAAAAAAAAAGAACAAAAAACTAGTTGAATGTCTAATATATCATACATATTTTTAATGTACTGTGGTAACTGTGTTAGAGCCACGGAACAGTCGACGCTTTCCACTAATGGGCAGGTCCCTTCGTGTAAGTACCACGACCCCACGTAATGAGTCTACGCTGTTGCACGAATGGGCAGGTCCTTTCGTATAAAAACCACGACCTCACAGAAGGCCAGCGTGAAGTGGAAGTGTTATATATACTTCTGTGTTGCATTTGGTAAATGGGGTAGCCTGGACCCACTTTATTAAAAGGTGGTAACGCATCTGCAACAATACGGGTGTTGCAAATGTCAATGGGCGGCGGTGATCACTAAACATCGGGTGAACGCAATTATTTGGTCTTTATCTTATTACTTTAGGGTATTTCCAATTGTTCACTGCCTATAAGCTATTTTTATAAACAAAGAGAAGATAAAACGAACGATTAAAGAGTTAAATCTATATTAACACTTTATTTTTAAAATTATAGGATTAATAACGAGAATAGAAATTTTTTGAAAAATTCCTACGACTTGTTTTTTTAATTATTAAAAATAATGATTGTCATAATAGTTAACGTTAAGATAATGAAATAAAAATTTGATTAAACTAAGTAGGGTATATTTATCATCTACGTCGGCTTATAAGTGCCCGTATATTTGTAAGTCTGAAGTATTCTACGATAAGCATATACCAACCTTCGTAATCCCGTGACCGGTGCCTTAATCTCGTAGCAACGAGTGCTAAGCACAGGATAAACGCTACCGTGCACGCTGCACCTAATACTCCACCAACTGCCCAGTTGACTTCCCACGCCTCGTGTGCTTCTGTGCGATATAATGTTAACGTTTTTTAAGTTTCAATTTCATACTAGAGCTCAATCAGTTGTAAACAAAACAAGTTAAAAATAAAATTTTCATACAAAATTCATATATATGCCATATCATATTTTGATAACTTAACTGAACTTAATAAAACTAAATGCTTGATTTTTAAAAAAAAGGTAAAAAAAGAGGTTTTTACAAATAAAACTTAAATGCAGCTTCCGTGACAAACCTGTTCTTGGTGATAATCTGGGTGCTGTTTCTATAGTGAATGTCACATGTTCTGATCGTCCACGGGCATTAGCGGCGTATACAATGATTTTAAGTTGTCTTTTTGCACCAAGCCTTCTTAGATTCCATAATGCCGCACCATTACTTGCGTTAACAACCAACCCCTCATTAGCCCAAACTTCTGCTACAAATACACATTGAAGTCCCCCTTCGTATCCTTAAATTAATTAAATAAATTAGCTGGATAATATAGACCATTCCAACAAGCTTGACAAAATTTTTATTTTTAAATAGTGTCTATATTATTGCATAATATAGACACTGTTTAACATATAGACAAAGGTGCACCTTTAATCTCTTTTTGGTTTTAAATATGTCTCGCCATCACACATGAACGGCTAGACCGATTTCGCTAATTCTTTTTTTATAATATTCCTTGAAGTCTAAAAAAGTTCCGGGAAGTCAAAACAAGTTAGTGACTGTGGTAAAATGTCACTTGAAATGTAAACGTCTCTGTGCTGTGCATCACTACATAGTATAAAACAAAGTCGTCCCGCTGTCTGTCTGTTCCTATGTACGCTTAGATCTTTAAAACTACGTAACGGATCTTGATGCGGTTTTTTTACTAATAGAGTGATTCAAGAGGAAGATTTATATGTATAATACTTTGGACCCGTGCGAAGCCGGGGCGGGTCGCTAGTTATGAATAAAATTCAATACAGTCTAAATGGCGTACAATTTTCTCAAAGTTACGTTGACGTATTGCAATTGGTAACCAGAATGGATAACTACAAATCCTACAGAAACAGAGAACACTGGCAATTTCGATGATAATTTAGAATCATAAATAGTTAGAGCCCCTAAATTGGGTTGTTGCCAAATGAGACCAGACGCTAAATTAGAATGTTTGGTAATAAGGGCAATATTGTACAAACGAAAATGTCGAGGGAATATATCAATATTGACATGCTCAATATGAAACACAACTTTGAACTCTTGGTTTTATTTTCGGAAATTATTTAATGTATGCATTGGCTAATATTGTTATTAATGGTACCTATTTTTTTATAATGATTACTGCTGAACATTATAATAAAAATACATAGGCCGTTCAGAATTATAGTACTTTTCGTAATAAGAGAAAAATGAAACATATATTAAATTATGTTAATTGTGGGATATTTAGCTATTACATTAAATCACATACCTGCTAAGCACATCAAATCTAATGAGTCGTGAGTGAGATTATACACTGTACAGTTAGTGGGCGGATCGGGCCTTGTTGCTGGTAGTAAAGTGTATACACATGGTGAAACTTGCTGCCCGGCTAAATTTGTAGCACGACATGATAGTGTTCCGTAATCAATTTCAGAAACTGGTATGTACGTCAAAATCGATTTGCCTGCGTTTGCATCGATTGTGAACCGATCCTATTAAAAGAAAATTAAATAAAACTTTAGGATAGTAGTTATTAAATGCAAACTTAATCGAAAAAGCCTTTTAGTTCAATGAATATAATTTGAGGGTGTAAATGTGCGTGAGAGACTTCAATTCTGTACTTTTTTATTGATTTGGAACGATATATTTTTTTCAAACTGTGTTGTATTTTATTTGTTTAAAAAATATAATTATCGACTTTCGACTTGTTGTTTCTTTACTGGAGATAACTAAATTGTTTAAACGGGCCTTGACGTTAATAAGTAATGGAAAAAGTCTAAACAAAGGATTTTTAACTTTGAAGTAAAAATAAAAATGCGATATTTATTATTTAATGTTTCGTTTCACATGAGATTTATTACCCAAGATTCGGCTATGTAGAATTTGAGATAGTGAAACGGGATAAAGTATTTTTTTTAGCTAGGTACAAAAAAAAAACTAAAATTATATTTCTAAACATACGCAGTCGAACACGGGCAACATAAATGGTGCTATCTTCATAAATTATATACGTTACTGACAGGATCGACTGCTATAGAACCGAAGGAGTTGTTAAGGGTCCACTCGAATGTATCCGGTAGTGGAAAAGCGTCGACTTCACATTCCACACTCGATGATTCTTGTAATGCGGCACCGATCATTTTAATCTGTCGTCGTCGACACACGGGTCTGTCTGTAGGTAAAAAGCTTTTGTTATTTAGTTCATGAAATTGAATAGAACTTGTGTGCAAGTTAAAACATTATTACCTACTATAAAATTAAAACTAATATAAAACTGTTGTATGTAATGCTTGTATCAACGTTTTTTAAACTTTTGCAAAATTTTCAATTTTTTTTTTATATTTGTTGAAGTATTTCAAGACGGTTTTCAAAAATTTTTCAAGTAACATTTTCAAAAATTCAGAAACAGTGCTTTTGCCTATATAAATAGTCAAAAGAACCAATAGAATTTTAATTTCAAATAATTCAATTTCCAATGATTTATCAACTCACAATGATTTAATCACATAATACTTTTACTAACAAGAATTAACTTAAAATTCTCTGTGCGGTTTGAAAATATAAATGTTATCCACTTACAAACTACTTGCAGCTGTAATGGAGGTGACTTTCCATCGCCTTCAACGTTCGATGCAGTGCACGTATATTCTCCGGCTTGATGTCGTGAAACGTTACGTATAGCTAAGTTAGTATTACCCGTTAGTATAACTCCGTGTGATGGATTATTTTGCAATATAATACCCTGTAAAAATATTTCAGACTTACTGTAAATAAGCACAATGATTTTAATACATGCATTCAAAAACGTAGTACTCAGATCTCATCCATACATTTATCTTATCACTTCTTTCTCATATTTTAAATACGAAACTTATTGTTAGAAAACATTTGTTGTCAGATTCGTTACACTAAACTTGGATATAGATTATTCATTGCAAATAAACAACTCCCTTCACTCACATTGTGTTCCCAGACAACTTTATAGGCGGGTGGATTTGCATCGACCTCGCATCCAAAGTAGACGTCATCGCCTTCTTCAATATCGTTCGGGTTCATCTTGGAACCAAGGTGCATTTCAGCTACTGGTATATCTATGCCAAACGAATAACCCCGATCGGTATATACAAATAAAGTAGGTTGACATGAGGTTGAGTTGGAAAATTATTTTAATTAATACGATAAGATAATGCAGTTTTCCTTAATACATTAATTAATTAAATTAGTGAGAAGAGTACACATATTTAAATTTTATATTTACATTTCGTGCCGGATAAGTTTAAATATGCAATATAAAAAAAAACAGGGCATTTACTTTTAATTTAATAATGATAGCTATATCGTGATTACTATTGAGGAAACGAAATCGTCCTAAAAGTATAATATCAATAAAAAAGGGAAAAATGAAATTGCACTTACAGTATATATTTAGAACCAATCTACTTTCAATACTAGACTGATTAAACATTGTATGCTCTGCTCTGCATGTAAGAACTTGACCATTATATTTCTTTAATGGAGTCCACTGTAATAATGACTGTGTTTCGTTCGCCTCTTCCATTTCCATCTGCTTGTATGAAATCTGTATTTATTTATAACTGTTAATACATGTTATAGAAGTTATTTAAGTACATGCCAATTCCTTGTTTGGCAAAATATTTGATGACCTAGAACACTAAGAAGACCGTAAAACAATATTTGGAATCACTTTGTCAGTTTTTCTGATTCATTTTCTATATTTCCTTTTAATGTCAGTCCTTTGATGTGCGTCGAGAAATCAACAAGCACGGAGAAACGGTTGGCATATTGGCAAATAATGCCGTACAGGCTATGACTGCTTATGTATAAACGGTATTATATATTGCTTTGGATAGACGCTATTAGCAAAACATATTGTTACATAAACATATTTATAATTGAATTGATAAGCGTGTATCTTGCGGTTTAGCGCTGGTGAATTTCTTTCCAGCATTTATGCCCCATATAGTAAGTATATACAATATCATAGTGATTAGAGCGTTACTGCGTCACCAAGCAGAGTTATCATTTCATAACTTCAAATCCGAATGAAAAATGTTTATAAAGTTTGTATGTAGCAACTTTATGACCATGTTTCAATCAGTGATAACATTTTTCCGTAACTTATGTTACAATATGTTGGTCTAGCCTTGAGTTTAAAATATGTACTATGTATCCATGTGAAATTTCAAGATATTTACAAAAACATTTTACCTGCTGTTTAGATTTAGATGTCAACTGGTTGCCTCCTAACCACCATGTTATAGTAGCGGGTGGTCGAGCTCCGGTGGACTTGCACCATAGTTCTGCTTTTCTTCCAACAGACAAAGGTTGTTCTCTTGACAGTATTTCAACAGTCAATGGTCGCACTGTAAATTTTTTGATATTAATCAAAATAGTAATGAAAATAAAAAAAAAATATGAAAGCAATAAGAGCAAAACAAGCTAACTTTAAAGGTAGAAATAATAAAGTTTTCGTACAAAGTTTAATATTAAATGTTTAATATTTGTGTACCAAGATATTTTATTAATCAAATAATTAATACGTAATTATACGCTCAGAATGAATAAATTAAATCCTATAGATTATTGGATGGACGTGGTTTTACTTGTATAGTCATAATAATTTATTTAATATACCCTTATCTATTATTAAATATCCATCATAATATGCCTACAATGCGCAATTATGTTAGAAATGTATCGTCCGTGGCACGTTTTTTATAATGAGGCCACACATGTCCACATTGGGCAAACTTAAATAAACAATATTCATTACATTATTTTTATACGTAAGACGTGTAAAATTAATTTAGTGAAATCAGATAAAAGTCTTACTCTTATTATTTGTATGGAAATTTCCATACTAAACAGTAGCGTGGATATGTGTTGTCTTTTACGCATGGGAATAACATTGATAAAGAGGAAACATTTTGATTATAACTCATAAGATGTAGTAAATAAAAAATGCATGAAAATGTTTATTGAAACACTGTAGCTGATTGATAGTAAAAATTACGGATTTATATTGTTTATCAAGCTTATGGCTATCTTAATAAGAACAAAATAGAATACTCACAATACAAATCTACTCGGACCTCTGATCGTTGAGGTGGAGCCAACAAAGTGTTATCAGCAGTACAAGTAAATGTATTGGCGAAATGAGATCTCGTTGCATTTGTTATAAGCAAGGTCAATGATCTTGACGGCCCTAGCTGAATTTCTCCGGCACTTAATGTAGCAAGAACCGTCTCTCCTTGAAGCCATTGCACTTGGGGTATAGGATTACCTGTTGAAATAAGTTTGGAAAACAATAGGTATACAACTTAAACTTACTTTATAGTTAGAACTTCCCTCCTGTCACAGTTTCTATTAATTTATTGTGTTTCGTTTTAATTTGACGGTAGAAAAATATAAACCTAATAAGAAAAACATCTTTAGTATTTGCTTTATACATAATCATTTATTTATGTAAATTATAGTTCAAATATTATAATAGACGGTTATATTCGAATGATAATAATGGACAAGTACACAAGGCAAGACTTTAAGGTATTTTTTTTAGTTTTTTGAAATTCTTGACTGAAGCACATTTAACATTTAGAAGTTAATATTTGTAAGACCAGTAAATATGTTAAGCAATTTACACAGGAACGGAGTTAAAGTAGTTAATACGGTACTCACCACCGTGTACAGAGCAAATGAGTTTAAAATCACTTCCTTCGTAGTAGGGTCCCGCTACTCCGGAGATTTCATTTCCGTATTCGTCAAAGATCACCGGTTTATTTGGTAGTTCTAATTGTAAAAAATATAAGATTAGGTATGGTATAACATTGTTTAGTATAAATAGTACCTTATTATATGAACACAGTGTCTCCTTCACATGATATTTCTATAATATTGGGGATCGAAATTACGCCTTTGGGCGTAAGAGACCCCTATGCTCTATACCGATTGGAACTAAGAGGTCAAAAATAGTGTAAAACGTGGATCCCTTTGAGTAGATACTCTTTGTTTTTAAATGTTAGTGTAAGATATTGACGGTACGGTAAGTACCACGAACTCACAGAAGACCGGCGTAAAGTAGAAGTGTTACACTTCTTCGTTTCGTCTGGTGAGTGAGGTAACCGGGGCCCACTTTATTCAAAGGTGGCAAAGCATCTGCAACCCTACGGGTGATGCAAATGTCCATGAGCGGCGGTTATTAATTTATATCAGGTGAACTGTCAGTTCGTTGGCCACTTTCTCAAATAAAAAAAAGTCTTTTTATTCATATTTTTGTATTCATCATCATCATCATCAGCCGCAACGCATCCAATGATGAACATAGGCCTCCCCCTTATAACGCCACAACAACACTGTCATTTGCATTTTTGTATTACCTTATCTTCTTTATAAATATATCAAAGTAAACTTTAATTGTAATTTTAATCTTATAGAGGTAATTATTTAAAAAAAAAAACATTTAAATAACTCATGATGAAAGACTAATTTATTACTTCCAACCTAATACTTTAACTAAATATGCGTAATTTTGTACTTAAATATGAATAAATTTAATCGCATTAATTTAACAATTTGAATCAAATCAAATCATTTTTATCAATCTTAATACGAAATATTATACACTGAATCTATCGATAGTCATTTTTTACATCGTAAGGTTCGTAAGAAAAGGCATAACAAACTCCATACTTTTTTCTCATAATATTATAGTATTATACAGTATAATTTATATATATATTTAGAAACAACTTGTGAGCAATCATCACATTCCCAAGGGTTAGTATCGATAATGTATTCATTTTTATTATAATAACCCTTTCAGAAAAGTTTTTATTCAATAAATTTCTTAAACCTGTTAATAGACAGGCTTTGCACATTTCCTAGAATGTTTTGTACTCCTTGAACGTTACTTACTCTATGCATGAATACTTTTTCCTTTAAATCTGTGACTACTACTTATCATAATCCGATGTTAACAAATTGATATAAGTGACAAACTCATTTTAACTTGACAACTTTTAAAGAAAAAAAGACACTTCTGTTCGGTAGCGTTATTACGCTATAAGATACCATGATTTGATTATTATCAAATCATGGTATCTTATAAGAATATAACTAGAACAGTTTTTTTTAATACAGAGGTCGCACATCAATAATAAGTAAATGTTTTAAGGTTCAGTTCGAATAAAACCCCAACAATAATATTTCAATTCAAGTGTTTTCCAGTATTATACAACATTTTACTCATATATTTATAAAACATATTGTTAATCAAGACAGCGTACATCAAGAATGATAAAGAACATAAAATATTTCATCATAATGACCCTGAGGCACTATTTGCAAGTGTGTAAGAAATTCTTCTAACTTTGAACCGGCTAGATGCCTCTGACGCTCTCATTTCAGCCAGCAATTTTCATTGCCCGAATTGCGACAGAGGTTCGTCTACTTTTTGATTAATTTGACATAGCTGAAATATTAAAATTTCTGTTATAGAAACAACGAAAGTAGGAAATATTATCATAAATGTGATGTTTTCACTCTGGTTACATTTAATTATTGTTATAAATATATCATTAAAAATAATATCCGTATGTAATTTTAAAAAGATCATCACTATTAATTAGTTTATTGTCAATTTAAAAAATGATCATTTTTAAAGTTCTAGCACTTCTTATAAAAATAGAAACGTTTAAAACTAATCATCTAAATAAACATTCGAATCGTCAGATGTCCCAAACAACATTTTCGTTTCTCGTCAATATTCACTATTAAACTAACACACTAAACAAAGCGGCATATGCTGTATCCTCAAATTGAGGATAAACAAACTGAGATAGCCTTTCAAACATAGAATCCGAGAGGAATGAAAATGTTTTCGTTGGTTCAAAACAAAAGGTTTGGCGATATGGGTATTCAGTAGGGGATAACGGCAATCGCAAGCTCGTAACCATTTCCCGCAATTCTGATATCGCATACCAAAATGTTAACTTACCACTTTATTACATTCAGTGAAATTGCAAAATTCTAAGATAACATCAATAAAATAAGAAACCTACCACTCATTCATAACCGTAGTTAACAAATTTTGCCAATCGTTAAAAAGTTCTCTGTAGACTGCTTAGTATGAATTTGATTCGTATAATAATAAAAAAGATTTTATACATAAGCAAGTTTTATAACATATTATCTTGTTTACGTAATTTAATCCGTTGTTTTTTACCATAGCGCTTTACTCTACTTAGTAGTAGAGTCTACTACAATACGGCCACTAAATTTTATATAATATAAAATGCAAGTTCTGGTGTATACTTTCCAATTTATGAATAATATAACAAATTCATAAGTAACGACATGTATTATGATTCAGTTGAATTGATAGTTATGTTACATTATGTAATCATGTTAAGTTATATTTGTATTGTTATATACTCACAATATTTTCAAACGCGCCAAAAGAAGCATTTATAAAGAGTACTACTCTTTATAAATGCATACTTTTTATAACATTACTTTTAACATTACTCAAATTATTCAAAAAAGAAACCAGCCAAGTGCGAGTCAGACTCGCGCACGAACGGTTCCGTACCATTATCTATTATTACAACGCCAAAAAAGTCACTTCTGTTGTATGAATAGTATGAGAGACCATTAAATATTTTTTTATTCTGTTTTTTAGCATTTTATGTTATAGCGACAGCAGAAATAAATCATCCGTGAAAATTTTAACTGTCTAACTCTCACGGTTCATTCGGACAAACAAACAGACAAACGGCGGAGTCGGTACGGAACCCTAATAAAAATTAATGAACTTTTAATGTTTACAGAATCTAAAACCTACGATAAACTAGGTTTGACTAACGCCAGGTTTCTAAAACATGGATTATCGTAGAAGTTAACTAATCAGCTATCAAATGGTTTTACAAATGTTATTTAGGATGCCAAAAGGATGGTTAAACTCTCTGGGTTGATTAGAATGGTCTTTAAATAGGTTGATTAGATGGCGCCAATGTTTTCTTAGCATTGCTTCAAATGCTAAGAAAACAATGTAGAAGAATGCGTTAAGATTTTCGTCGGTGTGGCAATCAGCCGTTTAGCTCAGTGGCTAGAGCGTCAGGCCGCGAATGCCGAAGACGTGGGTTCGATTCCCACAACGGCGACAATCTTTTCGCACTTTTTCTACATATTTTAATGTTCAATCTTAAGTGCAAAGATTAGCACTATAAACAATTTAAATTTCTAGAATGGTCTTCTTAAAGATCAGAATGAATGTTTAACGTTTCGTTATTTTCTTCGTTTCACCGTGTTTAGCTGATACTAGTAAGCGGTGAATAAAAGTGTTATTATTTATATGTGTAATAACTATGATGATTGATGAAATTTGGCTTTGGTGGGGCTATGATCTACTGCTGTTGCACGTATGGATATGCTAGTCCGAGGAAATACTATGACCTAAGAAGACCTGCGTGAATTTTTTTTGGGCTTAATGAGCCACTGTTGGTCTTAGGGGCCTTTACAGTTTCACTACTAAGTTTAGGTGGCCGGGCGCTCGGGGCGCCTAGCCTGAACCTCAGCATATTATGATAATGCGTTATGGTGACTAAGCTCCAGGGCTCCCTCGGGAGCCTCGGCTCAGGCCATGACGCTATTATTATCACCGGTTAGCAAGCTCTTAGGGCGCTTTGGTGGACGCTCCATGTAGTAATTAGGCTCAAGGGCAACCGAGAGGGGACCTGGGCTTGCGCTGTCACTCAATACCCGTTAAGCATTATGATTCGAGAGGGCCGGACCTCGGCTCGACCAGTAGCTATTTTTTGACTGGGAGAATTTCTAGATCTATCATTACTACCACTTCGGAAAGCGTTGGCGCTGGGAGAAGAAGTGGCGGAAGAAACTCCAGCAACGCTTTTATCATTAACAGGGGAAAACCTGCCAGGTTCGTGGTGGAACCTAGTAAATGTTTGCCTGGCTCGCTGGCGAGTGTGGTGTGATCTGGTTGTTTGCGTAATTGTTTTATCTTGTCTCATCGTCAGGGAATCGAGTAGAGATGGTTGGCAGCTTAAATCTACATGTAAGTCGATGTTCCGCATGAACTACGGTGCTCCCGTAGCTCTGCGCAAAAATCGATTCTGGATGACCTGAAGCCGATGTATTTGTGTCGGGGCAATGTGCGCAAAGACCGGACTCGCGTATGTTATAGGACATTTTTGAACTTTTATTTAAAAGGGGTATAGATACGAAACGATCTGGCATTCCGTACTCGTATGACTTGTATATGAGTCCGTTGTGCCAGACTTTATGGAAAGCCTTCCCTACATCCAGGAAGCGTTCTACTACGTGAGGCGCAGTGGAGGGAAAGAGTAGGCTATAGGAACCGGCTGCCTTCTAACTACCTGAGTGGCAGGTTAGAATGGCTTGCACTTTGGCGCTTTGGGGCAACCTAATTAGTTGGCCGCGTGACCTTCTGACTGACAGCGCATCGACGCACCTGACGCACCTGGGCTTGGCGAAGCAGTTCGTGCCGCGTGCCCATACAATTGGCACTTGTGGCAGCGACCGGGGAGAGATCCCTTGTGAGGCGGTTCCACTAATATGATGGCGAGGCCTAGAACCGACTTTAGGTCGAAAATGGCCTTACCTTATGGCGAGAGATCGAGATGGACGGGGACCGTGTCAATCGGCGTTTAAATCCGCTTGCTTTTCATGTGGTGGACTGAATGGACAGGGAGGTTTTGTTCCTTAAGGGATTCGAAAACCTTTTCGATGGCGATGTTCCTGGGGATCATCTTTATGACAACACGGAAAATGCTGTATACATAAAAATCCTTTTCACAGAGGAATTGGGATCCGTTGCGATTGGCATCAGCCGTTTCAAGCTGCAGCTTGATGCCCTAACTAGTGACGGTAGCGACGAATGTCACCCTATTTGACAGGGCGAACGCGATCATAGGCCACTTTTCGGTGTCCTGAATAAACAGTGGAGGCGAGAGTTTGTTCTGCGGCGCACGTGGGGCAGTCGAAGGTGTCGAAGGAGGAGTCGAAGTCGGGGTCGCTGAGGGCGATAGAGCCGTGGAGGACGGTTGGGAGTTTCACTTCTTCCTCTTTTTCTTATTCACCACTTCGGTAAATAAGCCGCCTTCATTGGAAGCGTCAGCATCGGTGGAGGAGAAAAGCGTGTCGAGTTCCATTTCCTCTTGAGAGGTGGAACTTGCTGAAGCTTCAGAGGAGGAGGAGAGCCTTGATAATTACTTAAGTGCCTGAAGGGCAACTTACAAGGATACTTAGTTTGGAGGAGTCCAAAGGACCTTTATTTCGGCCATTGATGGATATTTATTCTAAGATCATAAGAGAAGGGAATGAAAATAATAACAAATGATATCTCTATATATAAAAATAAATCGCTGAATGAGTTGCTAAGCGCAAATCTCGAGAAAAGCTGAACCGATTTCGCTAATGCTTTTTTATAAGGAATATTTCCTTGAAGTACAAGAATGGTTCTTGCGGAGAGAAAAAATTGAAAAATTGGCTAAAAAAGTCTAAAAACAACATTTTTCTATATTCCTAGACAAAAGATTAGTAATAATATTTAAAAGTCAATTTGAACTTTAATACCATACCATAAAGTTTAAATGTTATTGGAGGGGTTCCGGGAAGGCAAAACAATTGAGTGACATTAGTATCATATAAATAGTAATGTCAATATTTATCTTTTTGTAATAATTTTTACTAGATAGAGTCATTCAAGAGGAAACTTTATATGTATTACATATTGCACCCGTGCGAATCCAAGTCGCTAGTTATAAATAAAAGCTAAAGAAAAGAAAACAAATCTTTATAAACAAAATTAATTCAGGCTTATATCAGCTTGTTTTTATTGTTAATATTAAGATTAAATAAGTTCGCCCTCCGTCCTCGATTTTAATATCCAAGTTTGAGCAAATAAATTTTTCCGCCATATTATCCGTATACAAGCAAATTAATAAAGTAAAAGTTTGGTAACTCGTTTCGCTTATTATTTTTTGTAGTAAAACGCAGGGAAGGGTCAGTATTCATTATGCTTTGGGTCATCGATTTTATTTGCATATAGTATGAAAAGTATCAAGGTTAAAGTTTCCATAAAATGTACATACATAAACAGTTACAGATACATGTACCAAAACGAATTGCACTAATGTGCTGACTCGTCCGGGTAAGTACCAAGAACTCATAGAAGACCGGCGTAAAGTGGAAGTATAATACTTTCGCGTTTCGTCTGGTGAGTAAGGTGGCCGGAGCCCAATTTTCATAAGGTTGTCAACGCATCTGCAACCCTCGGGTGCAGATGTCAATGGGCGGCGGTATTCACTTAACATCAGATGAATCGTCTAATCGCTTGGCAACTTTTACATAAAAAATCTAGCTGTGAAGAACTGTGAACCACTCACCAATAACATCGAGAGCAATTTTGTAGTTTCGTGTTGGAGACACCTGGAAGTCGACGCGGCATCTGTAGGTAGCTCGATCGCGTGACTGTACATCGGTGAGGTGTAAAGCCGAGTTAGGCAGTCCGAGCCAACGGGATCGTTCGGCGAAAGCGTCATCAGTCCAATGTGCTGTAGGCCCCTGAACTCTTGTGTCGTAGCTGTTTTTAATAACGTACTATTTAATTGCCGACATCGATAATAACTTAAAAATATTTTTACACAGAATTATCAGGGCTGCAGTATTGCAAAAACAAAGTGCTGTCGACCTCTCCATTGGATCGACATCTCCATCAAGTTTGCGGGAAACCAGAATTAGGTCAGGTCGGAACGCTAATACTTACCGACTCTTACTTCGACAGAAACGAAAACCATGGGGGGTATTTCCGTTAAGCGGTAGTGCAATAAAACAACTTTACTGTTTAACATAAAAAAGTATCATAAAAACTGAAGTGGAAGTTTCGAGTTTGACTTGCGAAAATTGTACATACAATTCATTAGAAACATTATGCTACCTGAATTCATCATAATTTTGTTACGTATTCGGAAATTGCTATTTGCGTCTACAGAAACGATTTTCTTCCTACTAAGCTAAAATACCATTTATAAAAATTTAAAACAAAGGTTTTAAATGTCTTGAAATATTTGGGTTCATTATAGCAAAGCTATATCAACATGGCAATATGCTTCTGCTTCGGACCCTCTGAGTTTTCATCATTGAAAGAAATGTCACGAAGACTCGTTCAACTCCGTTACGCTATAATTATTTATTACTTACAAAATATCATGTTTAACATAGTAATGTTTACCATATGAAAATATGAAAATTCGGATAATAATATTGAAGTATCACAATAACGCCCGGTTACTGAAACAATGATTTTTTTTGTTTATGTGAAAAGTTGCCAAACTAGCAGACGGTTCACCTGGTGGTGAGTGAATACCGCCGCCCACGGACATCTGCTACACCCGAGGGTCACAGATGCGTCGACAACCTTTTAAAAATTGGGCTCCGGCTATCACACTCACCAGACGAAACGGTCGGAAGAAACGGACGAAAAGGATGGTTAAACTCTTTAAATTGATCAGAATGATCTTCTTAATAATCAGAATGGTCTATTTTTGGCAACTCAAATGACATTTGAGAAGCTGATTAGTTAACGTCTACTATGATCAGTGTTTCAGAAACCGGGTTATTTGAAATAAAATCCCAAGTTTTATTACTTGGTTTTGTTACAAATGAAACCCATTTAAAATTCTACAGAAATGAGATCATGAAGTAGTCACGATTAATATATAAAACCATATTTTTTTAATCGGTATAAACGAAAATATATATGTTACGCTATAGCTCTTTTAATCAATTGTAATTCCAAAGAAATGCTTTAGTCTGACAAATAATAAACACAGCAAAAAAAATTTAAACGTTGCACACTCAGAGCTCGAATTGAAATTAAATTCTATTGAAATGAACTCACAAGCATGATTCCATAAAAGAATTTGCAAACCTTTTTATAAAAAGTCGGTAAAATTTCTGTTTTATACGTTTAAGAGTTGTTGCACGTTTTATAAAAAGAAATTTACTTTTATTAGAAATTAAATTAAATTAATTATAAAAGATACGATGAAATTAATTTGCAAAATGTGCTATGAAATTACTAAATTACCTTTTGTTCAAAATTCATTTAAAAACGTTGTTGTGAAAAAAATCCTTAAATGCTCCTGTGTCTATTAGCATTGTTTATTTGTTAAATATATCTAAAATGTGAATAGCAATTTCCAATTTATAAACGTTTTAAGTCGCTTATTTAATAATTTATCGACCTCTACGATCCTAGAACCGCATATCCGATGTTCGAACTGTGTATTTGCAATTAAATTGTTTATTTACGTTAAATATTATATTTCCGGATTACTCTTCAATGTGTTTAAATGGTTGTCCATGCTGGTATACTGATAAATTATAAACATACTAATTAGTTTAATTGATTAAACCACCATAAAATTTTCAAAAGAAACAGTGGACAGCCATCAAATTACACATGTACGATTAACAAAAATATTTGTTTGGTGAATTTTATCGGCTTTTAGTGTCCGTTAAATACATTAAACAAGGCTCGGTAAAATAACAATAGGAGCAAAAACAAATAACATGTACTTTCTTTTCACCTGTAAACTGGGTTGTCTTCCCTGTACCATACAACGAGAAGTAGACTGTCATTATGCTGGGGTGGTCTTGAATCGCACGGCAGATCCGCGTCGCCGCCGACGACTGACGAGACCCGCGTCACTGTTCCTGTTACCGATGTCAGAGAATTACCTGCAAACGCGACATAAATTAATGTTCACTCCTTTAATCCACATATTAAGTAGAGCATAAGCCCTCGTGTTAAAACTCAAACGATCGAAGGGGACAATCTAATCTAATCACTAAGCAATGCTTTTGACGTCACATGTTTGGTGTTATTCACGAATAACATTAATAAAAATATTGAAATTTCGATTTCATTTTTGATTAAATAACAACAATCTTAGAATAGTTAATGCCACTAAGACCACTCTAGCTACTTTCACAAAAACTGAATACGATATTCCTTTCAATATACTTGAAAAATTACTCTAAAACAAAAAAGTAAGATGTGAAGTAACAAAAAAGATTTTTTGGAAAGACAAATGCAATGGTTTCGGGCCACTAAAGGTATGATTAAAATGCTGTTGTTAAATAAAAAAATATTGTCACAATAAACAGCATCGCTTAACAACTAATCTATCGTTCGTATGAATTTTATTACTTTTCTTTTCAAAATCATGCTGTTTTCACTACAAATTACGATATACCAAATAAAAAGAGATAAAAACATTGAAATATATTTTATGATCGGACTTTTTTTAAATAAAAACAAAAGCTTGGCAAGATAACCCTTATGAAAACTGGCCGTAGGCCAAAATGTTTTATCACTATTCCTTAATTTTCGTAGAATGGCAGCAGTGAACGCAAATAAAACATGGAATGCGCACGTTTACACAAGTGATTGTTAATAAATAGCACCACAACTCACACTAACAGTATCACGCACATACATACAAGTCAATAAAACACTTAATTATTCTCAAAAGAGGTCAGCGCGCACAAACGCACAGACAAACAGACAAAGAATTTAACAACCATTGTTTTGGGATCTATTGCGTTGATAAAGGCCCCCAATAACAGTTTTTCATTCAAAAATCTTCCATGTACAAACAACGATCAGTTACATATTTATTATATTTAAATTACTACAAGGGAACTTAAGATAAAGTGTAGGCCAGTCACTACAAACAGAATAAATTCTTTTAGATATAAAGTGGCACAGCATATGTCCTATAAAGATATAGGAGTCAACCCCAATGATTCTTATAGATCAATGGTTGATTTCCTTATATCGTCTTATAATGATACTTTTAAATCACGTACAATTACTAAAAATTCCAAATTAAAATTTAGTGACTGGGCAACAGTGGGTATATATAAAAGTAGGGATTCACTATATGACTTATATAATATGAGGCAGTGGAATCACGACCCTAATTTCCATAAGCGGGTACAAACGTTCTCAAAAATATTTAAAAAAGTCTGTGCCCAGGCAAAATCTATTTATATAAGAAATAGAATTCTAAATTCAAATAATAAAATAAAAGCCACTTGAGACATCATTACCCGTATATCTGGAAGATCCAAGATATTCAGGGAACCTATAAAACTTATCATAGGTAATACTCCCATAACATCAGACAGTGAAATTGCAAATAGCTTCGAAAATTACTTTTCAGAAATTGCAGTTAATGTCACATGCACATTAAAATCCTCTCCCATAGCTGCAATTAATGTATTGCAAAATAATGTTACCTATTGTCGACACACGTTTAAATTTAATCACGTAGATACTAATGATATCATAAAAGCCTTGAATTCTATTAATCTTAAAAGTACAGAGGACTTATGGGGCATGTCCATAAAATTAATTACCACAATAATGCCATATATTGCACCACATTTGGCTTATATTTTTAATAACTGTATAGATTCTGGAATATTTCCAGATCTTATGAAATTTAATAAGATAATCCCCGTCTTCAAAAGTGGGGATAAAAATGATCCAGGTAACGTAACTAAAGACCTATTTCCATATTGCCATCTCTAATAAAATATTTGAAAAACTAATTTTAAATCAACTATTAGTACATTTTAATATGAACAAAATTTTTCACGATGAGCAATATGGATTCACTAAAGGCAGATCGACAACCGATGCGGGTGCCGCACTTGTTAAGCATATCTATAACGCCTGGGAAAGGCCACAAGATGCATTAGGTGTCTTTTGTGACCTTTCAAAAGCCTTCGACTGCGTAGATCACAATACCCTTCTTTGCAAGATAGATTATTATGGCATTCGTACAGCGCCCTCAATCTCATCACCTTAGTAATAGAATTCAAAAAGTATCTATAAATGATGTTAATTCCCCAGGGTCCCCCATGAAAATGGGTGTACCACAAGGATCAATCTTGGGCCCATTTTTATTTCTAGTATATATAAATGATCTCCCCTCCTATGCCAGTGAGTTTTGTGATGTTGTACTGTTTGCTGACGATACATCACTCATATTTAAGGTTGACCGAAATTTATCCAATTATGACGACGTAAATGCTGCACTTTCGCATATCCTTCACTGGTTCACCATAAATAATATGGTATTAAATGCCAAAAAACTAAATGTATTCTTTTTACTCTTCCTAGTGTGAGAAGGCAAAGTTTTAGTTTATTATTAAATAACGTATCCCTCAATCCTGCTGAGTCTGCAGTTTTCTTGGGGATTACAGTAGATTCAGAGCTTCAGTGGAGTCCCCATCTATCATCTCTTGCGTGTAGGCTAAGCTCCGCTGTTTTTGTTATAAGGAAGGTTAGACAACTAACAGACATTGACACTGCCAGACTTGTTTACTTTAGTTATTTTCACAGCATCTTATCGTACGGCATTTTGTTGAGGGGTAGTGCATCTGATATAAATTCTATATTTATTCTTCAAAAAAGAGCTGTCCGAGCAATCTATAACATCGGAGCCCGGGATACACTCAGAGATATTTTTAAAGAGATTAATATACTCACTGTTGCGTCCCAATATATTTATTGTAATATCTTGTACGTTAGACATAATCTTAATTGTTATCTAAAGAATAGTGACAGACATAAATTAAATACTAGAAATAAGGACAAATTAATTACACCATTGTTTCGTCTAAAATAAGGAAATAGATCGTTCATGGGGCAAAGTGTGCGCATGTATAATAAAATCCCACAATCGGTATTAAGTCTGCCACTAGATGAATTTAAACGCAAAATTAAACGCGAACTTATGGCTAAGGCATATTATACCATTGCAGAATATCTTGACGATGCCAATGTGTGGGGTTAATGCTGTTGATACTCACGTAGGCTAAAATGACATACTTGTTCTATTATATTGTAAACTAATCGTTTTAAAAAAGAGCAACTGTTGAGTTTCTTGCCGGTTTCTTCTCAACAGAAACTGCTTTCCTAACCGGTGGTAACTTACGAACGTATTAATTTTTATGTAAAATTTTTGACATTTCATAAGAACGCGCAAGCGTCTATGTGAATAAATATATTTTTGATTGATTTGATTTTTTGATTTAAGATATACAACACGCTAGTTTCGGCGTGACATAAATATAGCGGCACAAGCACTGCCATTGAGCACGGTAGTTGACAAGCCGTTGCAGTAATTCCAGACGCTGTAATGGATGTTTTATGCATATTTATTAATTATACAATAATTAATGTTTTAATGCGCCTTTTAAACTCCTGCCCTAGTTTTTGGATTTCTGGAGTATAGATCCACAATGAATAAAATAACTAAAATCCCTACATAATTATTATCATAATGAGGTTTCCTTACCTTCACATAATATTAGAACACGGAAAATGACAAAAGAGGATTAAAAACATAATCAATATCTTGTCTCCATTTAAAACTTCTTTCACAAGCCCTTTCTCATCAAGATCTGTCTATAACAAAGTTTTGTGATTTACAAAACTGTACTGTGAGACAACCCAAAAGGTTCCTATATGCTGGCTGACTACCCTCTCGTACAATGAACAGAAAAACATTACAATGAACAGACAGACAATATACATGATTATTTGTTGGCGCTGGCAACACTGTATACCGGTTATGACGTTATCTACTCGAGCCAAGGGACACATGGTCGCATGGAGGAGTGGTCACTTGGATTGCGGCTGCGTTCCCGGACGGTGATATAACCACTAGCGCTGCTGTCGTTATAATAGTTGTTAATATTCAAGTTCAGTAATACTTAAAATGTTAGGATCAAGGTAAAAACGTTAGAACTCTTATATCAGAAGTGGGATTCATTCACTCGCATTTGGCTGTTCAAACAATCGGCGACATATTTTCTCCTTTTGTACCTACCCTCGTAAAATTAAACAGTGTGTTTTATACTTACTATACGTAATGGTGAGAAATCTTTTGGTTAAATGTAACGAAAGTTTTGGTGAGTACCTTCCAGTTAATTAATTACTTATCATATTTGAGAAAATGTAAAATAGCGATACACTACTGGTTTACCCGGTTAAGCTACCGAGCATTAAGTTGTTGGAAAATTTAAGGCTTGAACGTGGCGATATGCATCCCAGTTGTGAGAGATAAGCCACAGGATAAGTGTTTTGAACGTGGCGATATGCATCCCAGTTGTGAGGGATAAGCCACAGGATAAGTGTTTTGAACGTGGCGATATGCATCCCAGTTGAGGAATAAGCCACAGTGTAAGGTGTTCTGAACGTGGCGATATTCATCCTAGTTGAGGGAGATAAGTCACAGGGTAAGGTGTTAATTTTATGAAGGTTACTTGTACCAGACTACAACGCCCTTCGAGGACGAAGGCGTGATGCAGGACGGCCGAATGTTGGCGCTGGCAACACTGTATACCGGTTATGACGTTATCTACTCGAGCCAAGGGACACATGGTCGCATGGAGGAGTGGTCACTTGGATTTCGGCTGCGTTCCCGGACGGTGATATAACCACTAGCGCTGCTGTCGTTATAATAGTTGTTAATATTCAAGTTTAGTAATAATTAAAATGTTAGGATCAAGGTAAAAACGTTAGAACTCTTATATATTTTCCTATAAATATTTTTCTTACTATAACATATATACAAAAAAAAATATTAAAAATACAAGAAAACAAATTAAGCTTTCGAAAATAACTCTATATTAAAATATCTTGTATCATTTACCAATCA